AGGCAGAAACCCCACACTTGAATCTTGACCATGGCAGAAGAGCAGTGACCACACTACCATGGATTTTACCAACAACAGGGCATCAATACCAAACCTGACGCAGAGAGACTGGAGGGCAGGCAAACTAGGGGAGGGAAGAAGAGGAGAGGAAGGTAAAGCAAGGACAGTCCCAGCAGTACTCCCCACCAAGCCAGGGCACTGAAACGTAATGAGGAGAAGTCCCAGTAATCTCTTGTTTTGAAGAAGATTATTCCACTCAGCCATGAGAGCTCCTGGGCACAAAGATAAGGAGTATGAAAAGCCTTTTCTTCTTCTCTGCCAGAAAACCAACTCAGTTTTAAGTATCTGGCACATTTCAAGTGTTTATAAGCAAGTCTCCAGTCTCTGCTTACGAGTGAGGGACTTGCATCCTCGCACCCTTGCCCAGGACAAAGCTTATCCTTTCACTGACCCTTCAGCCATACCTCATATCTGGAAACGGCATCAGCATCTTCAGCTTTTCCTAGGTTCGCACATTGAAAGCAAACAGAAAAAGCTGCAAGGTCAAATACCAGTGTGAATGATGGCCTGTCACCCACCTAGTGAACATATCCTGAACAAAACTGGCAACCCATTCTCCATTTATTGCTTCCTGCCTCTCCGCAGATTGGCTGTCCCCTGCCTGGACAGGCACTCTGTTCAAAGTTGCCAAGTACTCTGCAAAACAGCTCTGTGCTGTAAAGTTTTAGCAATTCTGCTATACTGTAGGCATGTTAAAATTTGATATCCCTAATCAATATTTCTAAGACGGTAAAACTCTGTATATGGATGCTATTTAGAGCAACAGAAGCATTTAATTGACGGTGTGCTTTATACTGTCACAGAGATATATATCAGCTAAGATCTCTTCTGCTGATGCGAGATGCATGTCCACCAGAAAGCAATACCTCTACAACTGTCTCAGTAAATTCTCCTACGGAATAGTATACAGTACAAAAAGAGCTAAATAATTTAGCTATCCTTTATCCATGCATTACACATGCTAACATAGCTATTACACTTTCATTCGTCTCCAGCACATTTTCACTAACTAGGAAAGACTTCTGTTTGCTGAAGATGTTAACCCTTCCACTGTCTGAACATTTCTAGATTTTGTAAAGTAAGCAGGTTTCCTGCTAAAAACCTTAGACAGAAATCAGTCATCTTAACACAGGTGGGGTCAATAACGACCAAATAAAGCCAAGAAGCAAACTTATTTTTCTGGCCTGCCTCACTGATAATATACTGATTTGCTCTCAGAAAAGAGAGAGGAAACAATTCAAGGTTCACTATCTAGGTCTGTGACGCAAAATACATTCTGCAATTTTCTCCTCAAATACAGCTGCATTAAGTGTGAAAACAGAATACGACTAGAAGCTACTGATTTAACTCCCCAAGTCTGCAAAAGCATCTGATCTTTGCAGAATACGGAATGGGATTTAACCGCTATGTCAGATCTTGAGGTTTAGTGCCTCTGACTGCTGCTGACCTCTCCATGACTTACCTAAAGCCTTGAATTTAGAAGTACAGTTCCTAGGATTTTATAACACTCAAGTATTTTTATGCCATGGAACCCAATGCATAATGCCAGCCAGAAAGGTGAGAAGTGCTTATTTTGCATACTAGAACAAAGTATGATCAAAATACAAGGAAAAGGTGACTTACCTACAAATCTGCTTAACTAAAAGCCCTTAAGTCCGGAGGCAGCCACCCTGCCTGAAAGCCCAGAGGTGAAAAGTCTGATGGCTCACGCGTAACTGCTTGCCTGCCAACATTGCCAGATGCTTCTGCCATTCTGGAAAAACACCCCAAAATGGAACAAGACAGAACAAACGTTATTTTAGCAAGTCACAAGCAAGCTAAGGAAACAGGGTACATTTTACTTCCAGAAGCAACACAAATCAGTACCTCAAACAGCAAAATAAAAAACACACACACAAACAAAAAAAAACCCCACATAATCTAAGATTACAAAAGACCTTCCAGCAACCCGCATACAAAAATCCAGCCCTAACAAACCTGGGTGGGGAAGAGGGAGAGGAAGGAATCACTCAAAAGCTGTATTAAGATGGATTTAAATGCCCTGGCCTAAATTCCACCTGTGTCTCCACACTAGATAGTCCCTACTCTGGGCTTTTTGGGGGTGGGGGGAAACAAACAAACAAACAAAAACCCAAAAATTCAGAGCTGCCTTGCCTCTCCCCTGATTACAGGGTGTCAGTGCAATTTAAGCAACCCAACCACAGCCCAAGCATGTGCAGTGACTGTTTAGACTGGACCACTTACGCACCAAGGATTTACCGGCACTGCGTACAAAACTGCTGCTTGCTGAAATTTGCTCACCATTAGCTTTGAATTAAGCTTTCTGCAGCAGGAAGACTTTTTTTTTTTTTTCCTTTTAGACTTTTTTTTTGGATAGGGGAGGGGGGACACAGACTGTATGTGCTTTAAGAGGCTGCAGCATCACGCGATGGAAAGGCAATCGCCATCTACTGGTACGCTGCCAGCGAGGAAGCAATGCTGTTTTTTCAGCGCTAAGTACAGCTTATAGGAAAAAAAAAAACCCCAAAACCTCATGTTTAAAAATATCCTGAGGAAGATTTAAAAAAAAAAAAAAAGCGCTCCAGAACTGGAGGGCTTTGTCCTGGACATCTACATGTTACAAATGACTAGGTTAGCATCACTTTTGCAGCGCAGGCTTTTGGACAACATAATCCCACCTTTGAGAATGAATCACTTAGCAAAACATAAGGATCCCAAGCCAGAAACACCCACGCCGCCGACTCCACTGTCCCGGGAGCCCCCTTCCAGCGGGAAGCTCCATCTTCGGCAGCAACGTGGCTTTTTGGCTCTGCCCCTCTGGCTGAAGAGCATGAGGAGCTCCAACAATATCCCTGAGAAAAGAGCAGAGATGAAACTTCCCTCGAGAAAGGCACGTGATACAAGGAACTGAAACCGGTTAGCAGCACTGCAGGGAAGCAAAGGGTAGAGCAAAGCAGCAAGGAAGCGCCCAGACTTTCCCCTGTTCACGCAGCCACACAAAGGTTTTGTTAAAAAAACCTGCAGCAAGGAAAATTTCAGGATGCCTTGTTTGGCGCATAACCCTCATCCTTAGCAGCTCACTACTTCCTTTCCCACTTCGAGCTTCGGCGCTCGCGGATGACGGTGGGAACAATGCTCCCGCGTGGCTAAAAACAGCATCTCTGGGGGCTGTACTCTTGTTTCCTTTCCTAACTAGGACTGGTTTTAAGATTGCCAAACCGGGGCCAGATCTGCTGCTAGTGTAAATCACGGCAGCCCCATGGGCTTCACTGGCTGAATTGCATTTTACACCAGGAGGAGATCTGGCTCAGCTGCGCACGTTGCCCGAGTACTGCTGCTACCCTGCCTCAGACATTCAATTTGCTTATGCTAGATTTGAAAGCATATTATGTTTTTGATTATGTGCAGCAGCAACTCTCATCACTTCACATATTTTAGTTTGAAACTAAGCAAACATCCGTATTTAAAATTGTCGAGGTAACTAGATTACATGCTATAACAAACACAACACTTGAATACCAGGTCATTTTAAAAGGTGATCTGCCCCCATGTAGACTCCTGAGTCTTTATGGAGTTCAGGTTTTCCTTTTAATTGAGCATTTTCAAGGTTTACTTTTAAGCAAGTTCATTTCAAGCACCAGGTCTGGGATCTCTCATATTAGAGAGGTTGCACTAAATCGGGTCTGCTCACAAGAAGGCAGGCCTGGAGGATCTGGAGATTGTAGTCCAGATGTTGTAAACACAAACACATGCAAGTAATCTCATTAGTCCCATGGGACCTCACCATTAGCTGCAGCAACTTCTGACCCACTCATTTAAACCAGGAAAAGAGAAGTCAAGGATGAAATGCAATCAGGTACGTCCACTACAAAGATCAGGAGGCATCAGCTCCTTTTCTCTCTCTGTCCGAGCAAGAACGTCCTACAAGTTTGCTTATCGCACCAATGGCAATGGTCTTAACTTTTCATGCATCAGCTGGAAATGCTCCCCAGCAACAAAGATTCATGAAGAGTTAAGGGAACCTAAAGAAAACATCTGAGGAATTCTTTAATGAGAACACACATCCTTTCCTTCCCACCCACCTCCCATGATTTCTGCGAGAAAGTCCAACAGCTTTAGTAACAATCTTTTCTCCTCCAGGGTGGCTGTATGACTACACTCAGACATATGTCTGTTCTTTCCTCTTTGCTGGAGCCTGTGCTCTCATCTCACCTATTTCCTTCTTCTTTGAGCCTTTGGCCCAGAAATGGAAGCTAAAAAAAGACAACCTCAACAAAGTTACCACGCTTGGCTGAAGAGATCCTGCCGCAATGGAAATTTTAAAGGATTATCTTTGACTTGCATCCATGATCAGAAAGCGATCGCTAGCACAGACCTTCTGCACCAGGAAATAAAAACAGTGGCAAAAATTAAAATTTGTAGATGTCAGATTAAAAGTTAGTACATCTAGATGTTTCTACTGCATGTGTGATTAAAGCGACCTGAGAAATACGTAGCATAAAGCTTTATTCAACAGGAATGAATAACGCCCGTGACCTAGAAGGACATGGGCTTCACTTTGGCAAACTTCTTTGCTCCTGTCCCTTGTCTTTCAGATTTAATCCCCCTGCGCTGGTTCTGTTCTACATTACAGCTCCCTCTCTGCAATTCACAGCCATCCCTCCAGCTGTCCTAGCCAGCGAGAGCAAGCGAGGCTGACAGACCTTTTGGGATGAGGTAGCCAAGGTCCTCAGAAACACAGCAAGAGGTTTTAGCTTATTATATTCCGCTATGAATTCATTATCACTGGGGAGGGATGCAAAGAGAGCACAAAGAGCGAGAACGTGTAAACTTTGCAAAGGACACAAAAACCACAGTAGTTCCACAAAAACCTGTTTTCTGTGAGGACTCTGCACAGGGACTGCTAGCTCTCCTGACCACCCTGGGCACGGTGTCATCTGTCACAGCACAGGTGACCTGGAACCAAAAAGCAATTCTAATTAAAGCCAGTACTTCAATATGGCAAACAGACAATAATATAAAAATAGGACTCTTTGTATTACATTCAGCACATCAGATATAATTCCCCGCTCCCAAGACTGTACTACCTAATTAAAACAAAGGACAGCAAAGGCAATAGATACAGAAGAGCATCTGGGATCACAAACGAGGCAGGTTGCTGAACTATGAAGAAAAACTGGATCCAAAATACCTTGCAGGAGCGCCCCGTACCAGGCCGTGCTGCCTCTAGCTCTAAAAGTCTTGCAAAACCACGGGTTAAAGGAGCATGCCTCATCAGAGACTCATCCCCCCTTCTCCTCATCTGTCAAATAACTCTCTGGCAGTTGATGAGCACGTGAAGGCAGCTTTCGGAGCCCGGCAGCAAATGCTACGCCTGCATTCAGCCAGCTTCTTTTACATTCAGTTTGGATGGGCAAGATGTAATACAGCTGTTTTGGTTTTCTGCCCAGTATAGAGGCTTCAACTTTTGCATTATCACCAGCTATTTGAATTTATTAGAAAAATCTGAGATATTGCAGGGTTTTTTTTTCTTCTAACATGGCAATAATTTCAGCCACTGGCATGATTTTTTTTTTTTAACATGAAGAGAATTGTTTCCTCATAGAAGCGTTCATTTAAACTGTCCAATGGGTTATTTCAAGCACGAAATTAAAATGGTATATGTTCAATAAAAAGCTACAGAACATTACAACAGTATTAAGGAGCTGAGACATTGCTGCAGGCAAAAAAATTCATTCCGAGATAACGGGCCAAATTCAGCAGTCTTGCAACTAAACGATTCCAACGGAACTGTGCATGCTTAAACTAGAAAATATTTAACTTTGAATTTGCAGTAGATGGGGAATATAAATGCTACAAAGTGCCTAATTTTTCAAAGCTCTGCCTACTCACAGCTTCCTCTAACTCCTGCAGAAATCCACGGGCAACAAATGCTTCAGAAATAGCCCTTTTCCTTCCTAACCATTGCTTCAAATACCACATTGTGATTCAGTTGTATCATTTAATACTTGCATCCACAAGATGATCTCTAGCAGGTCATTTTCCAAGCAACTGGGGTTTAATTATAAAAATACTATTTATGAGGCATTTAAGACACTGGGAGAGGAGCGGGTACCGTGTAATTTGTCTCAAGCTAGTCTTGCACTAAGCGTTCAGCTAAGATCTTCTCTAGGAGGGATGAAGCTCTCATTTGCAAATTAAGTTTTTGCCTGCCGAAATATTTCGGTTCATCACGCTCCTACTGAACAAATTAAGGACCAGCAGCATGCTTCTGCTGCTGTAATAGGGACTATTCAGGCTTTAATAGCTTAGGCTTGCCTTCAGGTTTTCCAAACTGGAAGCTTCAAAAAGCCCCAAATTCTGCATCTCTCTAACACACATTTGAGCTCAGCAGCGCTTTTAGCTATCTAACAGTGCAGTGAGCAAACCAACCCCTGGATGAAGAGGGCTAATGCACCACATCCACACACCCCCGCGCTGATCTCACACTGCATGATTTACAGCACCTGTCTTCATGCTCTAATCTCTTCCTTCCTCTCCCCCGAAATAAGCCCCTTCTCATCAACGCTGTCCTAATTTCAACACAAGCACTGCTACATTTTCAGCTCGCTTGCCACCAGGAAACAACTCCCAAAGGGATGTGGCATGACAGACCTTCCACCCATCTGCTCCGACAAATGGGCTCCCTTCAAAACCTCAGGGTTTTTAAGGAAGAGAGCGCTCCCCTGTTCTCCTCGCTTGTGCTCTTCATCAGAGTAACACCTGCCACTGCTCTCCTTCCCTTATTTAGAAAAATGGTTCTCCAAAGTGCTTGCACCCTCTGTCTCCCTCTGCAAAAGAGCAACCAGCTCAGGAGTTCCTGTGTCCCATGGCATCTTACCCCACAGACGGGTACTACCAGCTGGCTTTAGCATTTGCCTCCAGAAATATTCTGCATAGGCAAGGTATGTTTCTCAAGCCCCGATTGCACAGTGTTTTTGATCGCCTCCTCTTATCTGTCAAAAGAGCTCAAGGGAAACAATCCCCACCACTGCTTCTGCAAAACCCCACAAGTGCTCCCAGCTGCCCTGAGCACAATCCTACCATCAAATTGCAGCGGAGCGAGGAGCAGAGACTTCAAGCCTTTTTTTCCTTTATGACCCAGCAGTCTCAGGGTAATCTCCAGTGGTCAGATGCGTTTCTCTCTCTTCTCACACCTTTCGCTGGGAAGGCAAGCACAGAACGGATGCTTTAGCTTTCCCGCAGCTCCAAAAACTCAAGCCACTTATTTACTTGCAAAGTACACACAACACACGCGTTAGAGAAACAACGATGAGGAGAACATCTGCCTGGAGGAAGGTTTTCCATCCTGTTGAAGTCATCTGGCATAAAACTTCAGAAGGCCGTTTCTGCACAGCAAGCAGCATTGTATGCCGTTAGGATAAACGCTAAAGCAGGGTTTGCCAGGAAAAAAGCAAGTTTACAGAAATGTAGCTGTAATTCCCTTTGTGCCTGTGCCCTGACTTAACTGCAGAATGGGGGTGGGGGGGAGTAGGGAAAATGAGCAGCAGTGGCTTAAGGCGATCTTCAGCACAGAAATAGCTTTACTTAACACCCAGTGCCCTCTCAGACCTCCCTCCTTCCTGTTCCTGAGAAAGACAAGGGTGAACGGCAGAAGATTGCACTCCCTCATGCTTCCTGACCTGCACGTACTGCTCAGGCATCATCTCGGTACTTGCTTTGTGTGGAAAAAATTTTTTGAACAAGCCACTAGAGATCATTCTGAGAAAAAAAAATACCCTAATTTGTATATATTAAAAAAAAAGCCCTCATAAAACTAACAACAAACTTGGCTCTCTATCTTGAATCATTCAATGTAACATCCCACCGCCCCAAGCTCAGTGTTTGCACATGCAGTGTCTTGTGGATAACCTCCGAAGCAAGTGGCATCGAGTTTTTATATGGATGAAAAAATGAGATTTGGAAGCATGTTACCTAAGGGACTTTGATTAGAGACAAGGAAAAAAAAAAGAAAAAAAAACCACACACAGCAAAACTTTCTCAAATTAGTGCCAGGAAGATGGTACCGAGAGCAAACAAAGATGTCTTCAAAACATACAGCTACATGCTGGATAGCAAAGCTCACTGGCGATATACCTGAGCAATTAAATTTCTTTTTTTTTTTTGTTTGAATACAAGAAGCCTAATGAAACAGCATCCAACACTCATTTTGTTCTCACAGAAAGCTAGCCTAACCCCCTTGAGCGCCTCTGAAAAAGCCTACTTTATTTAGATAAAATTTTTTCTTAGTAACAATAAGAAAGGAAACTCGCAGCCTGATTCCTGCTTAAAATTAGCACAAGATGAGGAAGGGCAGAACAAAACATGAACTCGGTTTGTCCAGTGAGAAATTCTAGGAAATGATGCTGCAGTTAAGAACTAATCAGCTACCGGTGCCCAAGCACAGTTGGGCAGCGCAGCCTAGGAGCTACAGGTCTCTGGCCAAAGATCAGAGAGAAGCGATACAAGATAACTCACACTTCACTGCCATCTCATTCCTGATCGAAACCAGCTTCCACACGAGATCACTCACTGCAGCCCGGTCAAATCCTGCTCCTTCCTGCTTCCCAAAGCACTGCCAAGAGCCTGCGAAAGGTATTTCGAGGAGATGGATTTATGCTGCGTGCACCTGTTGGACCTTAACCCAGCTCCAGCTGATTTTGCATCAGCCAGGATAAAAAGCTGTTGAGAGTTTTTCAACTCTTTCTGTAAGAGCTATGGAAGTCAGGGTAATCGGAGATCACACTAAAAAGCATACTTCATAAATCGTTAGCTCAGACTGGAATTATTCGATATAAAAGCACAGCTGTCATGTGCTTTTTAGGGCCCTGGTATCAGCTGTAGGTTTCCCTTCCTGCTTCTGTAACTGTGAAAACCTACTTTGGGCCATCAAAAGTCAGGGCAGAGATTTTAAAACATGACTTTAGCCATTCATTCCTCACTACACAAAAGAAGCCCTTCTCCTTGCCACTCTACATATTTTGCCTCCCTTCCCCAAGAAAACCCTAATAACCACATCTAGGGCTTGCACATTACTCCTCGCAGATGCTGGCTGCTGATAACCTAAGGCTCTAAACGCAGAGAAAGCCGATCCTGATGTTTATCACATAATAAGCAATGATCTTTATCGCAGAGTAAAATCCACTCCAAGAGGCAGTCTGAAATAATTTCAGTCTTTTTTCTCACGTGGACAAGAGCTGTGCGAATTGCTAGAGCTGACCAAGATTGACCAAGCCACTCGAAGGCAGCCTGGTCTGGCAGGCTGCGAAAAGGATGCAAGTCAGGAGTTTTTCAGTTTAATCCCACCACCTACGATCTCGGGTTGTCTGCTTCTCGGTGCCTTGGTTTCATTACATGCCAAAACAGAGTCTACGTAATTCGGAGGATAGTTTAAAGAATAACAACACTTCCTAATGGCTAAATGGACACCAGTCGTCTTTTTTTTTTTATGGAGATGTACAACACACCCCAAATTAGGGGCCTCATCTAACTATGCTTCTGAGGTTCCTGCTTTTACCCTCGCTCAGAGGAACAAAGCAAAAAGCAATTTAAACCAGCTCAGTAAGGATATGACAACACGGCCTTCCAGCAACAGGAAGCAAGGCTGTTCTTCCTTCACCCGTCTGGCAGATACCGTGTGCGGTTTTGACTGTTTACTTGTCCTTACACACGCTGATAACAAGAACATTCGGCTTTTTTTTCCCTTTGGTGTTTGTTTCCCTCCCTGCCTGGAACACTTCCTAGAGCCGAGTCTCTCCAATCATTTGGATATGGGCTACAGAAAGTTATTGCACTGAAATTCAGCAAAGCCTCAGTGAGGAAGATTTACTTCTGGACAGATGAAAGCCTCCCCAAAACGTGAGTTTTTTTTTTAAAAACACACGTTCAAAGGTGGCGTAGCTATTTTCACTGACGTTGATAGGGATTTATCATCTAACCTAATGGGAACATTTAAGATGGAGACATTTGAAAAGCCTCCCAGAAGTCTTAGCTTTAAGATACCGATTGATAGAGCCTGATCCTCACTTGAAAAGTTTCTTTCTGAGTCTGTGGTGACCACAAAGATCAACAACTCTTGTTCAAGCCCACAGAAGGCTTTCAAAAGAGGAGTAATTCATGGGTCAAAGTCGCCATTTCCAAAGTGATTTAGAGACTTTGCCTCCTAAGTCATCACTGGACTTTTACAAACTTTCCCCAACAGGTACGTCTCACATGGCGAGACAGGGCAAGGACCACACTCGGGCTTGGAAGAGCCAAAGGGCATTTTTATGACACTCAAGTGACTAACGCAGCTCAAATAAATCTTCTCTAACCCCTCAAGCGTTTAGCTGAGCAGTGAAAGGGAGCTATGGACAAAACGGCCAAGGGGAGGGCAAGTCTCACGGATGCAGCATCTACAACCAGGTTCTCCAGAGCTCAACGAGCACCACTAACATCTCAGCCTGCTGCTAGAAGGTACGGGCCTCTTCTGCCCCGATTGTCTTTGAAACGAGAAACGGCTGAGGCACTTGTTAAAAGCTATCTGACAGTCAGGAACGCGGCTATTCCAACTTCTTTTGAAATCCATCTTAGTGCAATAGAAAGACGGTTGGGGTGGCAGATGAGAAAAAGGCAGCCTTTTATTCATCCACTAAGAGGAGCAGCACAGGAAACAACAGCGTACCCTTCCTCGCTGCGCCCTCCTCGCGTGCCTCGGCTACGGCAGTTACTGCGGTTCAAGAGTTCATCTTCCACCAAAGCTCTGTCAAGGCTGACAAAGGTGCTGGTTCACTGAACTGAAACGCCCAGCTCTGCTCACAGACCTAGCCTGCTTATACTGAAGTCAAGAACCAAGAGCAATCCCTTGGCCAAGTGGACCGCAAAGAGCAGCACCATCCACAGGGCAATTCCCTTCTACCAGCAGCCAGATCTTAGCCATAACCTTCATGAAACTTTGGAACAGCCTGTTCAATGACACGGGTTTCAATGACCAGAAATCCTTCCGTGCCCTAAATGGGGTCCTGAGGCATACTAAATTCCTAATCTGATAGGCTTGAAGCACAGCACTTTCAGGTGAAAGAAGATACAGACTCACGTACCTAAATGCTCGCTCGTTACAAATTGCAGAGGTTACAGGGAAAACGGCCAATTCAAGATCTCACACAGCGCTCCCTCTAGATTAATTAGTACACGCCGCCAAAAAGTAGGCCTGATCTATCACTGTATCTGAGTACAGGAGATACTGAAGAGAGCTAAAACTGAGTTAAAAATCTATAGACTGATCTTAAGATCAGATTGCAGACCTCGGTATGAAGGTCAAGGCAGGGAAACGAGTGATGAGATATCTGTCACCCACAATTAACTTACGGCTCATCAGCTCATCTGTGGAAGGCAACCACATGCACATACAACCCCTCCTAATCCCAGGACAAAACACCCTCGCTTAAAACCAAAGCATGGGCACAGTGTGCAGAGCTCAGCTGAGAGGCAGTAACCCGTTAACCCACAGCAACGCAATCATGTCAGCACCCATACCGCAATTCTTCAGCCACGTTTAATGGCTGGAGTAAGACACACAGGTTTGTCAAAACAGAAGAACGTATGCCACCTCACACTTGCATTTTCTTCCTGCTAAAGACACCTCTACTTCATCAGAGCGCAGACAAGTAGGACCAATGCCAGTAGGCTCTTACACAGGGCCCAGACTTCAATTCATCAGCTCCAAGTAACCCATCACACAGGGTACAGCTGACCAAGCCCCTCCACAGCTTCCTGAGTCTTAAGCGTTCTCCTCACCCAGTTCTCAGGCAAACTAGAATTAAACTCAGGCACATGGCTAGCAGACAATAACAGAAGTGGACACAACAGAAATTACAAAGAGATCAGCCAAAGATATTTTCCACTTCTTTCCCTAACCCTTTTGCAGACGACTTGCCTAATAGGCTCACACCAGGACACACCGTGAGAACACATCCTCAAAGAGCGTTTGCCATTTTATAATAAACTAGCAGCACTATGCAAACATCATCTTGCTATTAGCTATAAGCAGAATCTGGGCCATCTGACATATCAAACTTAGTTATAATTCAGCTGTAGCTGGTAAAAAGCACAATTCTAGAAAATGTGTGAATTCAAATAACCAGTTTCCCATCTAATCCACTTGCATCACTTTACACTGCAGTGCAGTTAATTAAACTGTTCTCTTTAAAAATCCATTTTCCCCAGATTGCTTGCCTGAAGTCTCATTAACCAAATTAATATGATGCATATAGAGCACAGAGCACTGTTAACCCTTAAAAGAGACTAGCTTTAACAAAAACATAGATATAACTGGCTGGTAAAGCATCCCTCTAACCAATCCAGAAGGCAGAGGGGCAGACAAAGCACATTAAAAAAATAACTTGCTATTACAGAGCAGCCATAGGAGAACCATCCTACACCAACCATCTCAAAAATACCTACAAGTCACCCAAATATGTAGCATATAGGAGACTGGAAACAATCTCTTGATTAAACACACAGTAAATTCTGAGTCAGAGACAAGGACCTTTTCTGGAACAACCACCACCAGCCCTATTTGCCATAACGCAACAAGTTGAAGCATACCCAAAAGGTGGGAGAGTGCCCAACCCCTGAGATACACAGCCAAGTAGCTAACCAGCTTTCTGAAAGCACCTCCTTTCTTTGTGTTCTACTAACAGATCACTCATCTCCTCTTGGCATTAAACGCCCTGTGAGTTAGAGGAGAAGAGGTTCAAACATGCCTCCCATTATTACTATAAGCCCCAAACCTTTTGTATGACATTTCAAACGATACCACATTCAGAGATCAGATCTCGACAGCACATGAAATAGGACATTGCAAAAATACAAACTTTTAACTACAATAGAGACCAGCTTCTGGAAGAACAGTCCATCTCAAGAGTCTCCCCTTATCCACTTCCCTCTTCTCATTACCAGCAGTATCTAAAAACATTCCCATTCGTAACACACAGCTTAAATAATGCCAACATACCATGGACATACACAAGTAGCTTTGCCTAGTCATCAGCTTGGCTTCCATATCCATATACACAAAGTTACAGGCAGTTTCAGGTTAAGCTGGTGTTAATTCAAGCAGTTCGTGAACTCAGAAAAAAAAAAAAAAAACCCACCAGCTTTCCAGCTTGGCAAGCTGAACACCTGGAGTTTTACTTGAGCAGCAGCATCTTGCACCAGGTGGTGAGAGAAACCTTGTGTTCCTTAACGGGAACACCAGCAGCAAACATAGATGCTAACACCAAAGAGTTCGTTCCTTCACTCCCATCCCCAGAGTGGATGGAAGTGGCACTTTGACCCAAGTGAACACGTTAGTAAAGGTTAGTAGACACTCTCAAGAGAAAAAGGTGAACAACAAAACCATCTCCGTTTACATCACAATTCAGTCCAATCTCTTCAACCCCCTTACCTGTTTTAGGGATTTAAACGGGTGTTTGCCCCAGGAACAGACACCTCGCAGAGCACAACCATGGCATCCTTTTGTAGAAAAGCACCTGCTGCCTAGCAATCAGCCTGCATGGCTGCAGGACAGTACTAGGTTCTTAATCCACAGAAGGTTAAAGTATGTCAAGGCAATCAGGGCAAGCTTGCAATTTCAAGGTGTCTTCATCTGCGTGGCAGACAGCGACTAGTTAATTCTAACAGACCGGCAAGCATAACACGAGAGGTTTCTGAAGCCAACGATGCAGCAGTGTTAGCTTCCTCTTGGTCTCTGCTGATGTCAAATGTGCCCCGAAGTCTCCTGCAGCAAACATGGAGTTGTACTCCTGTACTGGAACAGCCTTCAGGAGCCCCCATACAGGATAATGCAGGAACTACAGCACACAATATTTTCGGGATGCCTCCATTTTTTCCTCTTACAATCTGTACTACACATTGAGGTGACTGCAAGCAAACATGCAGTCGTACCTGGGACACGATCAGGGTGCATGCACATCCGAGGCGTGTGGAACATTTGCTTCAAAACTGGTCAGAATAAGGCACTGAAACCAACGCAAAGGTTTTAAATTACCAACTCTAGCTCTCAGGAACTCTTCATCCATCCAGAACTAAACCCATCACTGCATAACTGCTGCAAAGCCCCTGGAGATGGAGGAGCGCCTCACGTATGTCAGGAAAGGCTTTATTAACATCATTTAAACATTTTTAAGGACTCATTTCTCTTTTTCTTTAGGCAATTTGGTGCAAAGGTTTACGTGCAAGATTCAAAGCAATTTCAAACTTTTTTCTTCAAAATTAAAAAAAAAAAATCAAAACTAAAGCCAAACAAGTTGGGTGAACAAAATAAATCAGAAACTTAAAATTCAGGAACTCCAGCTCTTCGAACCAGCGAAGCCCCAGACTTGTACACCGTTCTGAGACGCAGGGTGCCTCCCTGCTTCTTGCATGCCAGCATCAGCACCGTTTCCTCGTAAAGATGAGGAGTAAAGCAGCAAGTGACCCCCTTCACTGCAACCAAAGGGGGGTGCCACAGCAACACAACGAACTAGATTCTTCAGATTTGGTACAACAGGCTGGTCAACGCGAAAGTGTCGGTCTCCCTGCTTCTTGCTCAAGACCCACAACTATCAGAGCAAATATCGAGCCGCAGCAGCAAGTACCCCTCCGCTGCAAACAAAGGGGTCAAACGTTTGTCGTCAATTCACTTCCAGGCAGAAAAACCATTTTCCTCAAAAGAAACAATTTATTTAGAATGAAACAAAATCAGCTCAACTGTGAGCGCATGTTTGAGTGACAGCTACTTTTAAGCTGTGTGAGCCATAAAAAGGGTATTCCTTTACTTTTCCAGCAATCTTGTGTACACAGCACAAAGCAAAGAGGTCATTTTTTTTTTCCACTTAAAACACGGGCATTGGCATCACAATAGCAGATACACAACTTTTTTTTTTTTAAGCTGCCATTTTAGTAAAATGCACAAATACTAAACAGATAAGCTTTCTTCCATCAAGAGGCCCATGTAAATTCCACACAAGCCACAGCTTCTCTTCCCAAAGGTCCATTAGAGCTTGGAATCCCATGCTGTTGTCTTCTGCAGTCCACCAGCTTTGCTTGCAGGAGGAAAGAAAATGTTATTTCAGTACAAATGTATACAACAGATTTTCCCCTCCCTACATTATACAGATGAACATAAAAGAACTACAAGGCCTTTCTGAATATTCTACTTGGACTTCAAAAAGCACCAAGACCACCCACGGGCGCAAAACCTTGAAATGAAGTCACCTTCTATGTATAGATGCATAACAAGTAGTGCAGGTGTTGTTTGTGGACCAATGTTAAACTAGGCTTACAGTATCGACGATTATTCAACTTTCCTAACAGTTAACAGGATGCATCAAAATAATTAAACATGAGAAAAACCAACTGAATTATAAATAATTTAGTTGACTTTCCTCGAAGAACATTTCCTGAAGGCAACTTATCAACAGAAATATGAAGTGTAGTGTTACAAGTTTCTCTTTTGTTCTCATTTTGCTGCATAACTCTAGCAGCAGACAACTCCAATATTGTAGAAGAGGTCAAATCAAAGACACACCTAATAAAATTTAAAATTGTTACCATTCAAGTAATATTTCTCATCCATCATTTTCACACAAACAAAACTGCATGAAGTTGAATATTCAATTAACCATCCTCAGAACAATACGGTCTGCTTTAAGCCTAATACCAAAATTATTTCATCATTAAGTTTATATTTCATTGGAATATCTGTCCTTCGCTGTTATCCAGAGAAAGTCATTAAAAAAAAAAAAAAAAAGAAAGGGAAAAAAGGGGGAAAGAACCCCAAAAACTCTAGTCACACGGCAATGATTTCTTCCACTCTTGTGTCTGTTCAACAGGCAGACAGCAGACTCACTAGGAGTACTGCTCTCAACACTGCTTTTCTTAGCTAAGCCAGAAACTAAGATATTCCAAGCAACTTTCTGCCAGTCCTCAGATCATTCGAGCCCATCCTCACAATTTTGATTCGCTCACCCTCCCCATTAATACTTAAGTACTTTCACCTCAGTTACCGTCAACCAGATGATTCCCAAAAAAATCCAAGACATCTCCACACTCGCTTCTCTGCCCTCCACAGGAGGCAGAGCAGGTTGTCTCCAAAGCAGTTTCAGTCCTTAAACATCCTTTTAAAAGGAAGGGTAGGACCATTTTGTCAATCTGGCACCTATCTCTGTTCTCCCTCTACAATGCTCACAATGATGCATCGTTATTTGTAACTGAGGAGTCTGAAACTTCCATAGTTTAAGGTAACCTCAGTGCTCACACCGCAGTGTCAGCGAACAGCAGACCATACACTAGACCAGTGCAAACAAAGCCACTGGCTAGCAGCCAAGGAAGTTGCGTAAAGTTTTCAAATAAAAAGCCTAAAACCTTAAACAAAAGTATGAGTCATTTGAGGTTCTTTCCCCCCAGAGCATAAAGCACAACTATGAAATGATTCAGGAAAAGGACATCCTTTTTCCACACTAATTCAATAAACTGTAACTAATGAAATATAGGAACATCAGCTGCACACAACATTTGAAGAAATCCTGAGCTCTCACTAGAGCGACATAATGCCAAATATAACTAGAGAGCTAACGTCTGCTACATCTGTTTTGCTCTATACAGAAATGGTATTAAATATGGACTTCTACTTGCATTCAGCCCTGGCCAAGACGACTTTTAGTGGACAGTTACTCCAATGGGGCACGCTTCATAGCCTAAGAGAAAAGCACAGCCAACAAAGCTGTACTAGACCTGATGGCAGCATGTGACTAAGTGCCGGCAAAAAAAATGTTGCCAGTCAACTATGTTTTGACATTAAGTACCCTCAAAGGGTGTTAAAATCCTTGCTTACAAAACAGAGCAGCAACCACAAATAAACCAGATTTAAAGAAGCAGGTACTCCATTAAATAAAGGACCAGAAAACCTGGAGTCAAACACAGCCTCGCCTGTTCCGTATCACCCTCCAGTGCAGCACAGTTTTGACTCATAAAAGCCAGTGGCAAATATAGCCACTGCTACTTTACAAGGAAACAATGGAAGTGTACCCATGATGCTCTTTCCAAAAGGGTTCCCACGCCTCCCCAGCTAGCTGTCAAAAAAATTTGCTTTTAAGTTTGGATAAGCCGTGTTGACCCCAAGTTTTACGAGTTTAAAAAAAAAAACAGGTGTCTACTGCATATCAGCACATCAAGCGCTGTTCTTTGCAAGTTTAAGTGTTGAACACAAACAAGGTTAGTGCTTCTTTTTTGGTTTTGGAAAGATTTGAACTCCCAGTGGTTCAAGTTACAAAGGCTGCTTTCCTTTAAACCTCTGCGCTTGCAAGTGACTCTGGCATCAAACGCAATAAAAAAGACTCACTGTAAATGCAAGAAACACTTAAAGTGAGTTAGCAGCAGTGTTGATTACATGCTAACACACAACATAGACACCTGCTGGAATTAAAACAGACATTCTTTGCAGTAAGTGGTAAATATGCTGTATTTCTACAACATACAGAGAGTTATTTGCATTATTGGTGTCATTTCCAAAAATTCTCATTGTTAATAGTAAGGTGAACAGCTGAATTCTGCCATCTATATCTGTTACATTCACATTGAAGGACAACAATCCAGAAATCCTGGATTTCGCCCGCAAACATTTAAGAGCATTAGATGAGGCTTATACGTTTCCATACAGAAATAAAAGTAGCTATAACACTAAAACCTGTTTTGAGGATATTCTGCCACGTTTAAGTTCACCACAATGGCTGGGTTACATCTACTCATTTTTGTCAAAAAAAAATGAAAAAAGGATATCAAACCTCATTTGAACTGGAGCACTCCTCTGAAGAGTGACTATGGAAAGCAATATTGCAGAATTTCCTATGTCGGCGATAGCGAATCTAAAGCAAGCATAGTCACACCTGAAAAGCGACTGTTGTGTCTATAAAATACATTCAAGACATCTCCTCCTTCACATACTATTAGCAACCTAGTCCGCATTTTGAGCTTGAATTTTTTTGTCACATAAGTTGAAATAGAAATTAACTTGTCCCTCAGCCCTGTAACACTTGTCCAGGAAGATCCTGGAAGATCTACTGAGCAAAGCAGCATCGCTTTTATATTGCCCAGGTTTCTGAAAACGCGGCTAAGTGCAAGATTACATTCTGGTTTTAAGTGCAAGATTACATTTTAGGGCCTCTAAAGTGTAAGTAGATATAGTCAGATTTACACTTCGGTTTAGAAGCTAGCTGCAACCCCCTTTCAGTTGTAAAACAGAACAACAGGGATTTAGATCCCTTCTTCCCTCATAAATGCCTGTATTAGCAAGGTGTCCAAGGTAACTGGAGAAAAGTGCCCACTGAGGGGGGGAAAGCACAAGAGAAAGTGAACCAAGTTCTTTGAAAAAGGTAAACGTTTCCTCATAGAATCATAAACAACAGATCAAATCACAGCACTTTGGGGTACTTCTAATACCTCTTCAAGATGCTAAAACACTTTAGTCCAGATGACTAAAAAAACCTCATGTAATGCCCCCTGTACTGTACCTGAAAAGTCTCTAGCAGACAGCAGTTTCTTGCTATTAACAAAGAGGTAAAATGATAATGAGAACTTTTATGTAATTAAATTATTACAGAATTAAAAGCCATCTCTGGAGAGACGCATACTTGCTTAGAGTTTGCACTGTGGAACCAGACCCCACTGTACCTGCAACTCTTTGAAAAAGGCAGTAAAAACAAAAAACCACAATATTAACTAAAGTTATTCTTAAAGCACCTCCTTGTTTCTTGCATACGAGAGTAAGCACAAGACATTCATGGTTTGTAACAAAGTCCTCAGCTATTCACCACACATTGTCACTGCTACAAACCCAAAGTGCATACATGGGATACAATAGAACTCAGAGGAATAGGAGAAATACACCTGTTAAAAAGCATCCTTTCAGTGCATGCATTTTGGTGGACTGGCTGAAATTATCAAAGACCCAATAAAGGAATTAATGTTCTGCAGTGTACCCAAGAGCAGGTGCTAGCCACCTGAAAGAAATCAACCTTGAGCCATGCAACTCAAAGGGAAACCATTCAGGCTCCTGATGAAAGGGATCAGTCAGGCCAAAGGGCTGCTGGCCTGAGGCCTTCACAGAATTTCAATGACTCAAAAATGAGTTGACACCAGTCCACTGTTAAGTGTGTGGTTTTCCATTTAAACTACCGAGTGCTTTAAATCTGGTCTTTTAGGTTTGTAACTCTAGAGGACAAGCTATTGAATTTGCTTTAAAAATATATGAAATGAAAAAAGGACACGAATCAAAATTAAAAAGGCGGGAGTTTGTTGGTTCCCCACCCCCCCCCCAGCCCTTCCCCTTTTCTTTTAAACTACCGAGTGCTTTAAATCTGGTCTTTTAGGTTTGTAACTCTAGAGGACAAGCTATTGAATTTGCTTTAAAAATATATGAAATGAAAAAAGGACACGAATCAAAATTAAAAAGGCGGGAGTTTGTTTGTTCCCCCCCCCCCCCCCCAGCTCTTGCTCTTTTCTTTTGTAAATCAAAGCAGGCCTAGCTTCCCTGCTATCCCCACTGAGAAGGGATTCTCACAATATCCTATTCACACTAATGGCTAACCAACCTTTCTGGCTTCTAACTTTATAGAAAAATGTAGTAACAGAAAAACGGGCAGGGAAAGTTACCTACAAACAAAGATCTAATTTAAAATAATGACAGGGCTGGCTAAGGCTGTATCCCATAGCACCTGGCACACGCTGGAGGGGCTGTGTGGAGGAGTAGGCAGGGTTGGGTACAGAACACAAGGGCCTTAGGATGCCCCACGGACAATGATCATGACCAGATAGTCGTCCTCTGATTTGGCCAGCGCCTTGGCCGTGGAGTCCAGGAATTGCTGGGAGAAGTCGCAGGGTGGAAAGGCGTGCAGGACCCCGCTGTTCTCCTTGTCTTTGTTGCCCCCCACAGGGAGGCTGATCACCCCAGCAGCCTGCTTTTGCTTTAGATAGGACACCAGATTCCTGAGCGGCCTCTGGGTGGAGGTGGTGGCAGCCTCGCTAGCTCCAGATGAGGAGCGGTTGTCTGATGTGCCAGGCACAGCCAAAAGGATGGCATACCCATTGGGACCTGCCACCTTGATGCGACGAGTGACCTCGTCTAGCTTGGGCTGGTCCAGACGAAGACGTTGTGTGATCTTGAGCTGACCTACTTTACCCCCAGTTGCTCCCTCCACGAGGAGACTGCTGGCAACGCTGAGGTCCCCCTGAAGCAGGTGCATATTGGACGGGAAGTTGCTGTTCTTCAGCAGAAGCATCCCCTGCCAAGCCAAGCACAACTTGGGGGCTCCCCCGGCCTGCGACGTTCCATCCTGCTGCTGCTTCTGAGGCGGAGGTTTGAGCCGCGACCCTCCACCGCCTCCTTCCGTAGCGCGTTCATCCTTTTTGGCTGGACTTTTGCACTCCTGCGCAGCAGCTGCTGCAGAAGCGCGATGCTTCCGCTCTCTTTCAGCGGAATTCTTGCGGTCGCGTTTTTCATTCTGGCCTCGCTCTAGGCTTCCCCTGCGCGATTCCCGGATAGGCGAGGGCCGCTCCAACAGGAGCAAACGGGAGGAAGAGCGTTCTGGGTCACTACTATAGCGCTCCCGCCCTCCGACAAGCTCAGGGCTGCGGTCTGGGGGAGAGGTTGTGGCTAAACAGTGACGCTTTCGGGACGAAGAAGAGCGCTCACTGTCCGGAGAACGGTCCAAGTGCCGGCCTCCATCCTCCGCCAGTCTCCGTTTCCTAGGCTGATCCCTACTGCTAGTGCCCAACTCCCTCTCCCCCCGGTCCCGCTCCAAGGACCAACCATCCCGACGGCGATCTAGGCTTTCCAGTGGGTCATAGGCAGCTGCCCGATTACTCCTATCCCGCACAGGGGGTGGCGGAGGCACCCACTCTGTCTCAGAATAAAGGTCTCTGTCGCGGTCTCTATAAAGCAACGGTGGTGTCCTGTCCCGAGCCCCCCGAAGAGGATCTGGCGGGGCCCCCCGGTGAGGACCCA